GCCCCCCGGCGCCGCCGGACGGACAGACGGACGGACGGAGCGAGGGATGAGCAGGTGCCGCTGCCAAGAGCCGCCAGTTGCCCAGGAAACAATTTCTTTGTCCCCCCTGAAAAGCTGCAGCCGCCGCAAACAAGAAGTTTATTGAGTCGGGGCCGGCGCAGGCCCCCCCGGGAACCCTCCAGAAGCGCGGCACCCCGACCCCCCCAGGGCCCCCCGCACCCCCTGTCTCTGGGGGACACGGCCAGGCCGGGGGTCCCTGCACCCCCTGCTCCCCACACTGCCCCATCCCCTGCTCCCCCCTCAGCCTGGGCTGGGGAGGGGGTCACAGCCAGGCCCCCCCGGCCAGGCCGTGTCCCAGGGAGGGTGGGGAGGGGACAGGGTGGGTCGCAGCCCCTCCAGAGTGTCACCCAGGAAGGGTGACAGTGGGGAAAGCGCCGGGCCATGGCAGGGGGGAGTGGGAGCAGCCTGGGCCCCACAATTCCCCCCCTCGCATCCCCGCAGGGCAGCAGCCCAGAGACCCCCTGAGGGTCCCCAGCCCCCCCTGAGGGTCCCCAGCCCGCCCTGTCCCAGCCCCCCCGCCCGGAAGGATCCGGGACAGCAGCTTGGTCTCACCTGGCCCCAGCCTTCCTCCCTGCCTCCCTCCTCCTCCTCAGCACTCCAGGCTCCTTCCTTCTCCCGGTCCCTCCAGTCTTTCTCCTGCTCATCCCTTCAGCCTCTCCCAGCCCACTCTTCACCCGTCCAGCCTTCCTCTCTCCCTGCTCCTCACTTCTCCAGTCACCATTACTCCTCTCACCTCTCCACCTTTCCTGTCTTCCTCTTCATCCCTCCACTCTCCATCCCTTCCTCCGAGCCTTCCTCCCTTCCTCCTCCTCACTCTCAAGCCTTCCTCACTTCCCCGTCCCTCTACTCTCCGCCGCTCCCTGCTCCTCGTCGCTCCGGTCTCCCTCCCTCCTCTTCCTCTCCCCAGACTTCCTCCCTCCCTCTTCCCGGTCCCTTCGTCCTTCGTCTCTCCCTTTCCCTCATCACTCCAACCTCCCTCCCTCCTCGTCCTCACTCTCCAGCCTTCCTCCCTCCCTCCCCATCCCTCCGCCTTCCACCCCTCCCTCCTCCTCATCACTCCATCCTTTCTCCCTCCTCCTCATCACTCCAGCCTCACTCTCCGTCCCTCCATCCTCCCTCCCTCCCTCCCCTGGTCCCTCCAGCCTTCCTCCCACCCTCCTCCTCCTCCCCATCACTCCAACCTCCCTCCCTCCCTCCTCCTTGTCGTCCCTCCAGACTTCATCCCCCCCTCGCCGGGCTCACCCTGCCCGAGGCAGACGAGGGTGGGCAGGCGGCACTGGCTGACGATGGCGTCGAGGGGCAGCGCCGCGGGGCTCCAGCGGAGCCGGGCCAGTGGGAACGGGGACACCATGGCAGCGGGGACAACGCGGCACGGGGACACTGTGGGAACAGGGATACCATGGCAGTGGTGACACTGCGGCATTCGGGGACACTGTGGGAACAGGGACACCATGGCAGCAGGGACACCGCGGCATGGAGACACTGTGGGAACAAGGACACCACGGCATGGGGACACTGGTGGCAGGGACACCGCGGCACGGGGACACTGTGGGAACAGGGACACCGCGGCACGGGGACACCGCGGCACGGGGACACTGTGGGAACAGGGACACCGCGGCACGGGGACATTGTGGGAATAGGGACATCATGGCAGTGGGGACACCACGGCATTGGGGACCCTATGGGAGCAGGGACACTGTGGGAACAGGGACACCATGGCAGTGGGGACACTGCAGCATGGAGAGACTGTGGGAATAGGGACGCCGTGGCAGTGGGAACACCGTGGCACTGGGGACACTGGGAACAGGGACACTGTGGGAACAGGGACACTGTGGGAACAGGGACACTGTGGCAGCGGGAGGGCAGCAGCAGCAATGGGTCCTCTGCTGTCACCACGATGGTCACTGTGGGACAGGGAAACAAGGACACCACGGCATGGGGACACTGGTGGCAGGGACACCGCGGCACGGGGACATTGTGGGAATAGGGACATCATGGCAGTGGGGACACCACGGCATTGGGGACCCTATGGGAGCAGGGACACTGTGGGAACAGGGACACCATGGCAGTGGGGACACTGCAGCATGGAGAGACTGTGGGAATAGGGACGCCGTGGCAGTGGGAACACCGTGGCACTGGGGACACTGGGAACAGGGACACTGTGGGAACAGGGACACCATGGCAGTGGGGACACTGCAGCATGGAGAGACTGTGGGAATAGGGACGCCGTGGCAGTGGGAACACCGTGGCACTGGGGACACTGGGAACAGGGACACTGTGGCAGCAGGAGGGCAGCAGCAGCAGTGGGTCCTCTGCTGTCACCACGATGGTCCCTCACTGGCCTTTGCTGGAGGGGACACCCCCGGCCCCCAGAGGCTGCAGAGAGCTGGGATCACCCAGCTCTGGAGGCTGGAGAGGTGGCAGAGGGGACAGGGTGGGGAAGGACAGTGGCACAGCAGTGGGAGCTCTTGGAGAGCTGGAACAGCCACCCCCATTCCCACCCAAGGCAGGGGTGCAGAACACGGGGTGCAGAACACGGGGTGGAACAGCTGCTTCCCAAAAAACGCCCAAAGGCCCTCTCCAGCAGGGTCTCAGAGGAGACCTCACACCCCCAAGATCTGTCCCCTCTCCCAAGGGGGTCCCACGTAGGGATGGGGCAGCCTCGGACCCTCCGCTGCCCTTCCCACCATCCTGCCCTCGGAAAACGCCACGGGCAGCTTCGGGAAAGGCAGCAGGAACAGCTCCACCCCCAGCCAAACCAGTCCTGAAAGTTTGGGGAGACTCATCCCCCCTCCTCCAGGGCTGGGCTCACTCCCACCGGAACCAGAGGGAATTCAAGGGGCCCAGGAAGTCACCACTGCAAGTTTATAAAAGCTTTTATTTGCTCTTGGTACGACCAAGAATGGGACAGTGATCTTTTATACAATTTGATACAGTAAGTGGTACAAAAGAATGTGTTTTAAATAAAAAGCCAGAGTGGAGTAGCAAAAATATTAAAAGATTAAGTAAAAAATTGTCGGCATGGGAATTAATCCAAGACCTTGATGCTGTTTTATTCCACCGTCCGAGTCCGAGGGCACGAAGCGACCCCGGCGTGTGACACGGCCGTGGGACAGAGCCAAGCTCGGGTTTGGTTTAGCAGGACCAATTTCATCGTTTAACACTTTTTTGGTGACAAAAGGGCACGGAGGGGCTGCTGACACCTCCCGCTGCCCTTCTCTACTCCACAGGGCTGGGCTGGGGTTCCAAGCAGAGCTTTCACAAGCAGTTAGTCTGGAACTAGCAGGGAGTTGAGATACCAGCAGACATCAAGTTACTGCAAACACTGCCGACATGATCATTATTATTATTATTATTAATTTTTTTTTTAGGGGGTTTTTATCTGTTTCAGCATTCAGCTGCTCCCTCCTCCCGGCCCTGCCCTGCCTGAGCCCGCGGGTGCAGCTGGAGCTTGGACAGGAACAGAAATAGACCCGAGAGAAACAGCTCATTTTTATTGACGGGGAGGGACGAGGGGGCGGCGGCGGCAGCGAGTGGCACCAGCGAGTGGCCTGGGCTCCACCTGTGCCTGCGACGGGCACAGCGTCTACAAAGGGGTCACACACAGGGAGCTGAGCCCCTGCAAGCAAATAAAAAGCTCACGTTTAAAACAAGGATTATACAAAAAACCCCTTGATGTAGATTTCGCCTTTTTTTTTTCCCTTTTTGATCGCGTTAGAAAGTGCAGATTTAGCCGAAAGCGGCCGGACTCTGTACAACGCTGAGCCCGAGCTCACCAGCCACTCGCCTGGGAAGGGTTAACACACACGGGGACAAAATGCCAAATACAGAGGGACAGGGAGACACCTGGGTGAGTCCCCACACGGGAAGGAGCCGCTCCGGACCAGGAGTTCCGTGTTAAAACACCGTCATTTCATTAAAATTCACTCAGCGTTAGCGGCTGCGGCAAGGGCGGAGCGGAGCCAGTCCCGGTGCCATTCCCGGTGCCAGTCCTGTGCCATTCCCGGTGCCAGTCCCGTGCCAGTCCCGGTGCCAAGGCCGCGGCCGGAGCGAGGCACAGGCGGGGCCCAGGAGCGGAGCAGGGCTCGGGGCGGCTGCGGCGTGTCCTCCCCGCCGGGGCCGGGATTCAGCGCCGGGGATCCGCAGCTGGCGATCCACGTGGGGCAGAGGCTCCCGCAGGGAGAGCGCTCGGCAGCGGCGGTGCTGGGCCCCTCCTGAGGCAGGACAGGGCCAGCGGGGCCGGGTGACAGCGGCAGCAGCGGCAGGACAGGGCCAGCAGGGCCGGGTGACAGCGGCAGGGAGGCCGGAATGGCCTCTCCATGCCGGGGATCGCCCGCCGGGATCCCGGGCGGGGCTGGCCCAGCGCGGCTGCGGACACTGGAAAGTGGAAAGTTTCCAGGGAGGTAATAAATTAAACTGCCCGCTGGCTGGTTTGTTTCCTTTCCTTTCCTTTCCTTCTCTTTCCATCCAGTTCCGCTCAGCCTCGGCCCGGCCCCGCAGCCCTCGGGGACAGAAGCTGGGAGCTCGTGTTAATGAACTGCTGTCAGTTTGGGAATCCATGTTATATTCATACACAGAAAGTAGACAACCACATCACCCTCCATAGAAACTAGTGCATGCAAATAACTCTTCCATATGGGGGGAAAGGCCGGGGCTACGCGGGAGGAGGGAACCACTAGTGACGGACAGGCCTAGGGGGGTTAGTAGGAATCTCAACATTTTTACCTCGGAAGCTAAATCAGTGCTTTGTATTAAATTTTTGGCAAACACACCGCGTTGCCATCCTTTCCATTAACACATCACACCATGGAGAAATGCAAATCAAAGCAGCATGCAGGCAAAAAAAAAAAAAAAAAAAAAAAAGAAAAAAAAAAAAAACGGCGAAAAAAAAAAAAAAAAAAAAAAAAAAAGGAAAAAAAAGAAAGTAAAAAAAAAGAAAGAGCGGCAAAGTGAGAAAAAAAAATGGCAGCAGGAAGAGTTGGGAACGTCGGGATTGGCAAGAGGAGACACAGCAGGTTACATGGAGTTTGCTTTTGTTTTGCACCACCCTTTGTCCTCGATGCATGACACCAACGTTACAGAAAGCAACCACTACAGAGATCAGGACTCAATGGCACGGGGGGATGGGATGTCTCCTGCACATGCTTCCACCAGAAGAGAGAAAAGAAAGTGAAAATAAAAGTTCCTTTTTCCACATAAGGCACAGGACAAAGAAACCCCACTCACGGACTCAAGGCGAAAATGAGTTTTTCCTGGCTCTTGCCTGATGCATCTAGAGAATATGGTGACTCAAGCACATGATCCATGACAGAAAATTCCACTGTTGTACAAAATCAATTGTTAATTCTAACCTTTATTCTTATACAATTCGCAGAAGAGAGTTGAGTATGATTGCTCTGGGGTTTAATGGCAGGAGGGACGGGACTATAATACAACCCAAACGTAGTGGTGAGCTGAGCAGGGACATGGAAATGAAGTCACGGAGATGAATTTCCTATACATGTGTCGAGAAAACTGGAGTAGGAAAAGCTGTCCTAGCCGGAAAACCAAGGGGAGGCAGGAGCTGGTTAAGATGAGGAACAAAACCATTGGTTTGAGGTTAAAAAACGGGCAGAGTGGTTTGTTTTGCAGCGAGAAAAAAGGGGCGGTGGATGGCGATTGGTGAGAGAGGAGAAGGTTCAGCAGCACTTGCTCTTCCAGCCCGTCACCCCACCGCCACTGCTGATATCTACATTTTCACTGTTGGGCTCTTTTACAGGGGTCTGCAAGGAAACAAGTGAACACAGTTAGGTGGCTCTGGAGATCCCCAGGAAAACACCCAGAGCTGGGGGCTGGCATCAGCAGAGGGAACTGGGATCAGCTGTGCACAAAGAGCTCCTCGGAAACGCGGGGAATCCTCCCCCCACTCCAGCACAAATGTGCAAAACCAACTTAAGGGGTTTTTTCTTTGTTGTTTGGTTTGTTTTAAATAAACTGGAAACTGAGAAAAAGCCCAGAGTTTGAACTGGGACCACCCCAAAGACAAGTGGAACTGTTTTAGGTCCTGCACGCAGAGCCAACGCTGGGTTTGGTGGAGCAAGGAAATCCCAGCCTGAAAACACCACAAGCTGAACTCAGATGATGTGAACTAGTGACCTCCAAAACCCACAGTTTTTATGGATAAACTGGGCTTGTTCCCAGCCTCTGCTCCCTGCTCGTGGCACAGCAGCTGCCAAGGAAGGGCACACAAGCTCCTCCTTGTCACAGGACAGAACCTGGTGACACCAAAGCCAAAACCCCACTCCTGTGGGTTTGATCCAACACCAACATCTACTTCCAGCTGTCTGGAAAGGAAGCTAAACCCTCACCACACTTCACTCTCCACATTCCCTTTTTAACTCTCTTTGTCACAGCCTTGCAAAAGAACCCCCAGGATAATGACAGAGGGCAAAAATGAAGATTTAAGACCCAAATGTTGGTATGTTTGTAGCTTGACCTCCTGTTCACCAAAGGCCAGGGGTTTTCACCCCATTTATCACACAAAGCTTGTCAAAAACTGATTAAGAAATGACAGGACTGCAGTGACAACTGGGTGACGTTATCCACATGGGAGAGGGAGGAAAGCAGGGCTGAGCCAGGCTTGGGATGGGGTTCATTTGTGTAGGAACAGGAACAACAAGGGCCAGAGCTGGCCAGCCCACGTGTCTGGAGCTGCAGAGCTCCCATGAGCTGCTCCCAGGCAGCAATGTTCCAGCACAGGGGTTTCTGTGTACACTGAGTCCTTGGCCATGGGAGCACATCCCACAGAAACAGCCCCAGAGCCACGCAGGGATGCAGCCCAGCTCAGTCCTGGAACACCTCAGTGGCACCTGCAGGAAGCTGGTGGATTTCCTATTCCTGACAGAGATCAGGGCCACAGGTACAGCAGCTCTGGGCACACAGGGATCTGCCACAGGCCATGGAGACAACCCAGGGTGGCAGCAGGGCCAGGGCAGTGTCCCCTGTGCTGGCACTGCTGGGGCACCTCCAGTGCTGGGGGCAGCTCTGGAGAGCCCTGGAGGGGCTGGAGCGTGTCCAGGGCAGGGAACGGAGCTGGGAAGGGAATGGAGCCCCAGGAGAGGCTGAGGGAGCTGGGAAGGGAATGGAGCCCCAGCAGAGGCTGAGGGAGCTGGGAAGGGGCTCAGCCTGGAGAAAAGGAGGCTCGGGGGGACCTTGTGGCTCTGCACAACTCCCTGACAGGAGGGGACAGCCAGGGGGGGTCGGGCTGTGCTCCCAGGGAACAGGGTCAGGACAAGGGGAAATGGCCTCAGGCTGGGCCAGGGCAGGCTCAGGGTGGACACCAGGAGGAATTTCTTCCTGGAAAGGGTTGTTAAGCACTGGAAAAGGCCCAGGGCAGTGGTGGAGTCCCATCCCTGGAGGGATTTAAAAGCCCCGTGGATGTGGCACTTGGGGACATGGGTCAGTGGTGGCTCTGGCAGTGCTGGGGGATGATTTGCCTTGGTAAAGCTCAGAGAGCTTTTCCAGCCTCACTGACCCCATGGTTCCATGGCACACTGCACCTCTGAGGAAGAGGAGCCAACCACCAGATGATGTGGGGCAATGGAACCACCCCCAAGGACATGCCATGGCTGGGAGCACAGCTGGGAGGGGCAGAGGTTGTTCCTGCCCCACCCTCCACACCTGAACTCTTCCCAACTCCCCCTCAGGAGCTGTCAGTGCACGGACAGACACAGTGGCAGGAAAGGACAATTCCCTCCACACCAATGGAAACATTTAACTCCAGCACAGGCACAACCCTGAGTGTAAGGGCCAAACAAACAGGAATTTCAGTTCCCTGGATGTTACTCCCTGTAGGCAGGCCTCCTACAACAACAGAACATCAAACAAGCTACAGAAGTTCAGCCCTGCTCCTTCAGGGACTCCTTTGCAGCACAGCAAAGTCAAACTGCAATAACACAGGTGAACATCACAACAGGAGAGCTGGAATTTCAGGATATTTGTTCCAAAGGAATGCTGTGAGCACCTACCTTTCGAAGAATGTCTTCTGCTAATGTGAGGAATGCCTTCTCAATGTTTATATTTGCTTTTGCACTAGTTTCAAAAAACCTAATACCGTGCTCCCTGGCAATCTGCAGCAAACAGAGAGAGAGAGGTTAGAGATGCTGGGGATGTTCCAGTGGTGCCATCACCATTTTGGGATCAGCAGCATTTATAAAGCAGGGAATACTTGACTAGACATGAACTCAGGGTGGAGTGCCCATCCCTGCAGGTGTCACCTGGATGTGGCACTGAGTGCCCTGGGCTGGGGACAGGGTGGGGATCAGGCACAGGCTGCATTCACACTCTGGGAGCTCTTTCCCAGCCTCAGGGATTCTGTAATTCTGTGACTCCCTCAGCCCCTGTGGGCACCAGCAGCACTGCCAGGTGAGGTAGCTCAGAAAATTCAGAACTTCACAGTTCAGAACAATTAAATCAACTAAATAATCCCCAGGCTGTGTCTGGGCCTAAGAGGACAGACACCACACACTGTGACACCGTGAGGAACTTCAGGGATGTCTGGGAATGCTGAGTTATCAAAGGAAGCAGAAACTGCAGCTGAGCTCAGCCCATTCACGGCAGTTTCTGAGCAAACATTTCCAGGACTCACATCCATCAGCTCCTGCATTCATTCCCTGGCACACCCCTCTGGGGCATCCCAACCCCCTGGAGCAGGCAGAAGTCTTGGCAGTGATTTGCTGACTTGGATAAAGAAGTTTTTGTTTGATACTCACCTGTTCACCTTTTGCTTTAGGGACAACTCTTTTATCTTCCATGTCACACTTGTTTCCTAACAGCATCCTCTCCACATCCTCGTTGGCGTGCTGGAAGGACACAGGACAGGGTTACAGGGTCACACATCTCCCCTTCACACCCAAAATATCTGCTCCACTCGGGTGTGGCCAGGCCATTATCTGCACCTGCAATCAGGGGACATTTACGCTGCCCACAATGGAGCTTCACTCACTGCAGGGCAGAGGAACAAGCTGTTAATTAATCCCCCTCTGACTTCTTAGCACTGGTTAATGGTTTTTCCCTCCTTGCTTTGTCACTGCACAATATGAGAGATGAACCAGGGGAGAAAGAGGGAGTGGGGAGGAAATCAGGGGGCAGGACCCAAAGAGAGAAATGAGGGAGAGAATGGAACCAGAAACACAACCAGAGAGTGGGCAGGGTCTCCAAAGGGAGCAGGAGGGGAAGGGTCCGTGTTTCCTGCACGGTGTGGGGCAGGAGGATGCACTGTGAGCCTGGCAGGGATGAGGATGTTACATATATTTTGGAATAATTTGTGCTTATGTGAAATATATGGGGAATATGTTATGTTTGTAAGAAATCTTAAAAGTTTTAAGCACACCAGGCAAAAACGGAGATGTTGCTTCACAAAATTGTGAAACCACAGCCGGCAGCAGAGAGATACATTTAATTAGCAGCTAATAGACCAGCTCCGTGAGGAATGAGCCTTTTCTCGGGGATGGTTCAACAGTGAATGCTCGATGAGTGAGTGCCTAGATCAAGATAGCCAGAGCCATCAGGAGCTCGCATCTCAATGCCAGGTTCCAATAACTCATGATTGGCATCCATCACTTCCCAGACACAGCTTTGTTCAACTCAACCCAGAGAAAAAAAAAAAACAATATAAATGCGTGAAGCCCTGAAAAGAAGAAAAGAAACCCAGACACAGCTTTGTTCAACTCAACCCAGAGGAAAAAAAAAAACAACATAAATATGTGAAACCCTGAAAAGAAGAAACTCAGACACAGCTTTGTTCAACTCAACCCAGAGAAAAAAAAAAACCAACATAAATGTGTGAAGCCCTGAAAAGAAGAAAAGAGACTCTGCCTCGGGCAGGAAAAACAGTATAAAAACTGACTCTACCCACAGCCTAAGTGAACAGAGGGAATTGCAGTCAGTGTTCACCCAGCTCCTATCCCGGGTTCAGGGCTGTCCCTTTGATTGTTAGCTATCGAGACTGTACATCAGTCGTGAAATAAATTCTATTTTTTATTAATTATTAAATTGGCTTGATGGAATTTTTACCTATAACACCAGGCTCCAGAAGTACTGAAGGAGGATGCAGGAACTCCAGGAGCTGGAGCAGATCACCTGGGCTGTGATCACACAGCACGTGCAGGACAAGCAGGAGATCAGGCCCAGCCAGTCTGGCTTTGTGACAGGTCCTGCTTGACCACCCTGATCTCCTTCTGTGACACTGTGACCTCAAAGGAGGAGGGAAAAGCTGAGGATGCATCTGCCTGGGCTTTGCTAAAGCCTTTGGCACCTTGTTATGAATAGAAAGTTATCTATTTTTGTTTAAGGTTGCAGGGTTAAAACCGGTTGGACTGGTTGCTGTTAAGTTAGCTTCATTGTTAAGAGTTCTTCTTCAATTGCCTGTTAATGGTTGGTGATTAGCCGTTGTCCCCCTGGTGCTGGGACACTGGGACCCTGCAGTACCAGGAGAATGGGAGTGGCATCAGAGCTAGTATGCAGATGAGAAATGCATCGCACTAAATCTTACAATTTTCCAGGAAAACCCCTAAAAACAACGAGCCAACATAGAATTAGGGGACCTAGGTGATGTCTAAGGATGGGCGCGTAGTCCAGTGCCTGCTTGGATCCTTTTTTGCTTCTCACCCTAACCTGAAAGGATGTTAACTAGGGAGAGGACCCAAAGTGTTGGACTGAAAAGCAGGAATCTGCTAATCTCTTGTGAGGACACAGTGCCCAGCTCTGCCTGCAGACCAGCAGACAAAGCTGCTTCATCATCATCATCATCATCATCCTCCTCCTTCATGCCACTCCTGGGAGCAGCAGCGGCGTGGGCGTGACCCGTCGAGTTCTCCCCACCCGAGCTGAATTTCTTTAATAAAGGCATTGAAAAAGGAGAAAGATCTCCTGCCCATTTATTTCATTCTCCTGGAGAAACTGGCTGCTCCTGCCTTGGATAGGTGCACCCTGCTGGGTAAACCTGGGATGTGGATCTGCTGGGGACAGAGGGACCAGGACAGCCTGGATCCATGGGCTGGGACCACTGGGGTGAGGGACAACAAGGCCAAGAGCTGGGTCCTGCACTGGGGTCACACCAAGCCCAGGGAACCCTCCAGAGGGGCTGCAAAGCTGCTGGGCAGGAAAGGAGATGGGAAAAATTCATTCCCCACAGCTGCCCAGGCAGAGGTGGAGTCCCCATCCCTGGAGGGATTTAAAAGCTGTGTGGATGTGGCACTTGGGGACATGGGCAGTGGTGGCCTTGGCAGGGCAGGGGATGAGCTCCAAAGGATTTTCCAACCTCAATGACTGTGATTTCTGCAAAAACACTCCATTCCTGAGCTTCTCCCATAACAAAAACAGCTCTCTAAGGTGTCAACATCCCCTTTACAGCCACAGCCCCTGAGCAGCCTCCACAAAGCACCTGAAATCAGCTGCCCAGTCCGTGTGGCCCACATCGACAACACGAGGGCACCAAAAGCCCTGCTGGCACCAATGACATCCATCATCACCTGGGACACCCCTGAGTTTTTTAACAAAGCAACTGCAGAGTCCAAAGGCTCAGTTTCAAGTTCAACCCATTGCTGAGCCTCTTCCTGTGCTGCCTTATCCCCTCTCCTGTTCCCACCACACAGGGCACTTCTCCACAAACACCATCGTGTTCCACTTCTCACGCTGGGAAATTCAAATCCCAACATCTCATTTTTGCTGTGCTGCTTTCTCCGGCCTCAGGGCTCCACTGAGCAGTGCCTGACAGCCTCACCTGTGCTCAGGTCTAGAGAGCCATCTCTGTGCTTTCTAGGAAAATCCAAACGTTTATTCCACTTGGGAACAGCGTAACAAAAACAGGAACTACAGTTGTGCTGCTCTCCTGCCAGCTCAGAACTCCTGGAGGATGAGCTCATGGGGATCCAGGCAATTAATGCTTCCACATCACTTTTCTTCTGCTTCAATGGACCTTGCCTGAAATTATCCAGCTCCCTGTCCTGGTTCTCCTCTGTCAAGGGCAAGGATCAGCTGCCAGAAGCCAAGCTACCTGCACCAGCCATGAGGAATCTCCAAATATTTCATGGCAGGATTACGAGGGAGTGGAGATGGTGATGCTGAATTACCTTGGAGGATTTCCACGCTCACACTCAGCGTCTTAGGTTGGAAATGGGGGTGTGTATTCTATCTGTCAGAGGTGGGGCAGTTATCAGAAGATAACTGGGGCAGTTTTCTTTATCTCTTCCATAACCAGTCCTCCCTCCAGGAGATCTCTTCTGTTCATGGGCCATTAATTATTAATTTATCTTATGTAAATGGGCCAGTGAGTGTCCCTGCATGGCTGATCACATTCCATCATCCCATTGGGAGATGCTCCACCCAGGGGAGGAGCCAAGCATTCCTACCTGGATACAATCTGAGCCTGGAACAGCACAGCAGCCTTTGCCCACTGCATTCCCAGAGGAGCAGCTTTCTCCTGCCCTGCATTCCCAGAGGAAGAGCAGGCCCATCTCCAGCAGCCCTGGAGCTCCAGAGGAAAACTCCAGCCTTGTGCAGGATCCCTGCTCCAGCAGAAGCACAGCTGGCACTGCAGGAGGGCTGAGCCCCCATGGGATGGGACTGTGCCACCACCCTGACACACAGGGCTCAGCTCCTATTCAGACACTCTCAGTATTGTTTTTATTTGTTTGTACTATTGCATTTGTATTTTTAATTTTCCTAGTAAATAACTGTTATTCCTGCTCCTGTATCTTTCCCTGAAAGCCTCTTAATTTCATCATTATAATAATTCAGAGGGAGGGGGTTTACATTTTCCATTTCAAGGGAAGCTCCTGCCTCCCTTAGCATACACCTTTCAAACCGAGACACCGAGGAACAGCTGCTGTGAGTAGTAACACACAGTGTAGCTACTCTGCAGCCCCTCCTGGCTGTGCTGCCCCTCTGCCCCCCGTGTGCTCTGAGCTGCTCCCAAAGCTGCTCCCAGCGAGCTCCTCACTGCCCAGCCTCCTCCAGCACAGGCACACACTTTGCTCAGGCACACAGTGGGTGTTTCAGGACACCACAGCATCCTGTTTAGTGTGCAGCCCCCCTTGTTGAGTTTTGGATGCTGAGAATTTCAGGTTTCTGTGCTGACAGGCTCTGACCCCCAGGAGAACACTGCATTTGAGCTGGAGAAGGCTTCCAAAATTGACTGACAGCACTGGGATTGTGGGTGTGGAGTTGGTTAGAAGTGGGTGATAGCACAGGGTGGGAAACTCAGAGTTTGGGGTTTTAGAATATAGTCATATATATAAAGCAAGATGGAGGTTTTGGGGCAGAGGCTGCTCCTTCTTCTTCACCTTCTTCTCCATGGGTTTGGGTGGTATTTTGTAATTGGACAGAAAAGCCCACCCTGAGGACTTTGAGGGATTAATTATTGGGTTAAAAGTGAAAATAATTTAAATGTCACTTCTTAATTGGATAATTTAGCCTTCAAAGACCTTGCACCAAGAGCCAGTTGGCCACTTTGTACCTTGTCAGTGCAGAACTCACAGCTGTGAGGCTGTAAGGAACACTAAACACCTGAACCATCTTCTCGAGTGCCTTCAACCCTGGACAGAGGCACGAAAAGGAACCAAAAACCGGCGCCCCCGGCACTCACCTCGTCGATGTTCCTGAGCCACTTGCTGATGTTCTCGAAGCTCTTGGCGTTGGTGATGTCGTAGACCAGCATGATGCCCATGGCCCCTCGGTAGTAGGAGGTGGTGATGGTGTGGAAGCGCTCCTGGCCCGCCGTGTCCCTGCCGAGACAGCGCAGCGCGTCACGGCCGCGCACGCGCTTGGCTTTACCCAGAACTGTTCTATTTCTTAAATAGATTTGTACGTCTTTGTAATTTTGATTTTTTTAAATTTGAAAAATGTCATTTTAGAAGTTTTATGGACATAGTTTTAGTTAAAATGTATAAAATTGTTTAGGTATTTTAATGTATTTTTGTATTTTTA